CCTACCAGTTAAGTTTCGGACTCACCCCTGTTGGCTCCCGCCCGTACATGGCTTGGCCTCGCTGTGGATGACATTCCTCACACCATCATCATCTTCAGCCTCGCACTTCACGGAAAGTAACAGACACTAAAAAAAAAATCAGGCACCTGCCGATTAGCAAATGCGAAAAACAAATTGTCACAAGGATTCCAAATTATCAAAAGGATGGCAAGAGGTACTCCTTACGTTCCATAATGTAGTGCGTATATGTTTTCTGAATAGTCAAGCTAAGCAAACTTTAACCGAGTTTACAGATAAAAGTATTCTTATATACAATTCGAAACATATACAACATGAAAATGTAATTGATGACATATGTAATGATACACATTTGGTATTTTAAATGTGCATATTTTTGCCTATAAACATGATGAAAGTTTGTAATGTTTGACTTATCTATACACTACATTAGGAAGGGTTTTTCCAGGGGAGGCAGAGTGTTTCTTCTTTTGACTGCTACGTAGCTCACTCGGCTTGAGTGGCTCAGTAGGCCGGTTGGCCCATGGCCCATAGCCAGTGTTGCATCTCACCCGCGCCACTGGCGAGGTATCATCCCCAATTCCCCCATTGACGTTGCAGCGGCGGTGGTTCCCCATGGCCTCCGAGCAGCCACCAAGTGCGCCGGCGGCGGAACCCGCTGCTACGACCTTAACCGGCCTCGGCGGCGACCTCCTCCGCGAGATATTCCTCCTCCTCCCGTCCCTGCCGACCCTCGTGCGCGCGGCCTTCGCCTGCCGCACCTTCCTCGACGCCGTCCGCTCGTCCCCCGCCTTCCGCCGCCGCTTCAGCGAGCTGCACGCGCAGCCGCTCCTGGGAATCTTCTTCGACCCCGACGGCCCCGCCATCCCGGCCTTCGCGCCCGTCCGCCGCCGGGACGACCCGGACCTGCGGGCCGCCGTCCGGCGCGGGGACTTCTTCCTCACCGGCCTCCCCGACGACGACGACGACGCGCGTCCCGGCTGGGTCATCAGCGACTGCCACGACGGGTACGTGGTCCTGGAGCACATCTACACGCGGGAGGCGCTCGCGTACAACCCGCTCACGCTGGCCCTGGATCTCCTGCCGCCGCTGCCGGAGGAGTTCTACGAGGGCTTCCAGGGCCACTACAACGGCCTCGACTACCACATCCACGCCGCCCCCGAGGAGTGCCGCGACCACGGGGCGTTCCGCGTGATCTACGCTTGCCACGACGACTCGCGGGCGCGCGCGGCGGTCTTCTCGTCGGACTCGGACGCCAGGGCGTGGCAGGTCCTCCCCTATTCCGAAGCTCTGAGGACCATCCCGGAGTCCGGCGAGCGCGAGCACTGGCTCACCGCTGGCAGGATCGTGGACGGGTTCGTCTACTGGGTGTACTCGGATGAGGCCGCCATGCTCGTGCTCGACACCACCACGCTGCACTTCTCTCGGGTCGATCTCCCAGACTACCTGAAAGGACAGACGAGCATGTTCAGGGTTGGCAAGACCAGGGATGGGGTGCTCTGCGTCGTCGTCGCGATCGAATTCAACCTTTATGTTTGGCTCCGGAACGTTCGCGATGACGGCGTCGAGGCGTGGGTGAGAGGCCATCGGTTTCAGTTGGACGACATTGTTGAGGACACCGGGGGAACACTGGAGGAACACGGCCAGCTCAAGGTTGTGAGCGTTGTCGATGGAGTTGTCTACTTCTCTACCCATGAGACCTTCGAAGATGCCAATCTTCCCTGCTGGTTCCTGTCCATAGACCTGGAGGAGAACGCCCTGGACATGCTCTTTCAGAGGAACTATGACAGTCATGTCCATCCCTACATTATGCCTTGGCCCCGTTCTTTGGTTCGCGACAAGGCGTGTCTTCAAGTTGAAGGTGCTTGATGAAATGTAGACAAGGTATCATGTTGTTTTCCTTTTCTGGCCGTCAGATGAACTTTTCAGTTTCGATATTCTGAAGATGAGAAAGAATGGGCCATTTTTATTCTGCAATACGAGTAAACTGCACTTTCTACATTTCGTTTTCGATATTCTGAAGATGAGAAAGAATGGGCCATTTTTATTCTGCAATACGAGTAAACTGCACTTTCTACATTTTGTTAGCCTTCGTCAAATGTTTGCTTGTGTTTTATTTTTCCTTTCATTTTTCTTTGTTTCTTGTTTGGCATATTCATGCCTAAAGGAAACCATTGATACTAACTCTGGCAGTAGTGCCGTCTGTGTATTCCCTTCAATTGCAAGATCTATATCACTCACTGCATTTCTGAACATGTTCAGTCATCTTCCTTTTTTTTGATATAGACAATAGGTTCTGCTTTTTTGTTAGTACAGTTGCCAACTTGCCATTTTGATTATATAGTACCCAGTCATACCGAGTTTGGACTGTTAATTGCTAAATGCTTGTAAGAGCTTCTGCTGATTATTCATTTCTCCTAATTAATTATGCACCAGTAGTGTGGTTATCAGCATGAATGGGCCAACACAACTAAGTCTAGATTCATTTGCATACTGCAAAGGAATTCACTGTTCGATGCAATCTGAGAACTGTACTACTTTAGAAAAAATGTTTTACTGCCTCTACCATCCCTGAAGTAATGTGCTTATTTTTTGCAAACTGGGATATCATGCATGGTCTTATTGATCAACAGGCTGCCTCCTTTGGGATGCCGTAGCAACTACATTGAAATCAAACTCAAAGACACTATAAAAAAAAGGGCAGCCTCGTGCACGTAGCTCCCGCTTGCGCAGGGTCCGACCACTTTGGGTCAATTGTACTCAACCTTTCCCTGCATTTCTACAGGAGGCTGTTTCCAGACCAAGCCACTATCAAACCATAAATTTTCCCAGTACCACCACAGTACGCAAATATCTACTCCCTCCGTCCCATAATATAAGAACGTTTTTGACACTAGTGTAGTTTTAGAAACGTTCTTATATTTTGGGACAGAGGGAGTAGTACTTAAGATAGGATCATCAATTAGTAAACCAATTGGGAAACCTAGTGAGGCCATCTACCGTTCCTTGCAGATCTATCATAGTATGCATGCCAAAATATCTGATATATGAAAAAAATGATCACCTGAGACACAGCAGTAGGGGATGATGTCAGGACCTAGGGGACTGCCGATGGAATCCCCAAAGACAGCTGACTTGCAAGCTGATATACGGACAGCGAGTTTACAGAGAAAGTAAAGAAACTGAACTGCAATAGAGGACCTAAGACAGCTGACATGCAAACTGATATACAGATAGAGAATTTACAGGGAAAGTAAAGAAACTATAAAATTGGTTTTTTCAATAAATAGCCGCCCATATATCCTCTACGCAGCCCTTTATACCGAAGAGGCAGTGCCCATGTTTTGTTTAAAGTACACGGTTTACATAGTTAAGCACTTTTTAGATGCAAAAGTTACAATAATCTGAACATTATGTAAGCAAGATTGTAGACCTTCAAATTGAGTGGTAGCAGTGGTAGCACAAAGCTTGCATGCTCTTTATTCCTTCTCTCCCTTCTCTGTTTTCTCTGTTCTGAACATTCTGAAGTTTGAACACTTGCAGGCAGCTTCTGAGCTGAACTCCTGCTTTTGAACAGATTAATACACTTCACTTCCAATTTTTAAAACTGATTCCGCTTTTTGTTTGGTACAGTTGCCAGCTTGCCATTTTGATCATGTAATAATTTTGTTTATGTTGCCAGTTAGACTAAGTTTTTGGAGTATTAATAGCTACAAAATGCTTGTAAGAGTTTCTGCTGATTATTCATTTCTCCTAATCGCTTATATACCAGTAATGTGTGTATCGGCATGAATGAAGCCAACAAAACCAAGTCTAGATTCGTTTGTGTATTGCGAAGGGGTTTACTGTTTGATGTGATTTCATAAAAAAAAGTGTGTCACTGTCTCTACTACCACTGAAGTAAGTAACTTACTTTTTTTTTACAAACTGGGATCTCAGCTGAGTAGCACTGGTTTATAAGAGCTTATGCTGATTATTCTTTTTTCCTAATCACATATATACACCAGTAATGTGGTTATCAGCAGGAATGAAGCCAAAGCAACTAATTGTAGATTCATTTGCATAATGCGAAGGAATTCACTATTCAATGTGATTTCAGATCTGTACTTTAGAAAACTGTTTTGCTGTCTCTTCCATCCCTGAACTAATGTGCTTATTGTTTGCACACTGGGACCTCATGCATGGCCTTATTAATCAACAGGATGCCTCCTTTGGGATGTCGTAGCAACTATAAGTCCTGAACACGATGGATGGATCATATGGGAAGGTCTGAAGTGTATCTGTATCTGCATCTTAGAGATGTCAAGGAGCATTGATACTAATTTTTGGGGTATCTGTATCTGGTTATGAATTCTTGGTGATGTTCAGGATGTACAATCATTGTTAACATCATGGATGGATCATATATGGTGATGTTCAGGATGCCAAGTATGTATGCTTTGTTATGAACTCTTGGTGATGTTTGGAATGTTCGAGAAGGCTACAATCCTTGTTAACACCATGAGGTCGATATGTGTTTTTTATCATATAATTATTCAAATGATTTAACCTTTAAACTGTGTGGTTTTTTAGATGCTTACAGCAGCTTTAGTCACAACAGTCATTTTCTTTGCTGTCGAAAAATTGGCAGCTGATTGGAAGGGCTCTGATTTTTAGCAATTCTTCTGACCAAACACCAGCCAAAGTTGCCAAATGTTGCCAAGATTGAGCTTTGCCAAATGAGCAAGCAGCCGCTAAATCTCAGGCTTGGAATCTACATATACTGTAGTCCCTTAGTTTTGGAATCTGTATTCTCTAGCCATTCCCCATGCCTGCTTGGTTGCAGAGGTACCGCAAGTTGTAACATTGCTGTCGAAGAGCATCATGTTTCCTGTTGGGCTTCAGGTTACGGTAGTGCTCTACAAATGCTCAGTTCCAATACAGTAAGAAGGAAGGAGTGCCATTGGATGTCGAATTCGTCTGGCTCCAGGGAGCATTTACTTTTGCGCGCTAAAAGTGTTTTTGCATATGCCAAAAAACTTGGAAAAATTACATGTTCATGTCCAAATGTTATCTTCAGCCGTGTAGGGAAAAAGCTAAATCGTTTTTACTTGTGCAAAAAGAAAAGTTCGTTTTTCTGTTGATAAATATTTTTTGGCATCCTAGAGGGTAGGCCAAGAAAAGAAGACTACAGTTTCTCTGCCTTCCGCCGGCTGTCCGCATCATCTCCGGTGGGCGGTGTCCCTAGGGCCATGAAGGCGTGGTGGATCCCGGTCCTTACCGGTGGGAGGGCTCCGTTTCTAGATATTTCTTTGAGTTTTTTTTCGCGAATACGCAAAGCTTGCGTATCATTGCATTGATAGAAGGAGTAGAATTAGTACAAATAGAGGTAAAATACATGACACGAACGCATACAAACGTGAACATGGTGTCCGGAGCAAAGACACAAGGGATGTTCAGCCCGAACAAGGGATACATCACAGCTAAACCTACCAAACCCGAACCAAGAATGGCAATGCCGAACCAGCAAGAATTCCAACATCACCTAAGCCAGAACCGGAGACACCACGAGCAAACAAGATAACGCCTTCAAGAAGGAAGTCGACGCCAAGACGCCGTCGCCATCCGGTCCGGAGGAACCAGACCTAGGGTTTCCCCTGAGCTCGAAGAGGGACGCAACTGAGGACCTTGGCAGTGTTGGAAATATGCCCTAGAGGCAATAATAAAAGTGTTATTATTATATTTCTTTGTTCATGATAATAGTCTTTTATTCATGCTCTAACTGTATTATCCGGAAATCGTAATACACGTGTGAATACATAGACCACAATATGTCCCTAGTGAGCCTCTAGTTGACTAGCTCGTTGTGATCAACAGATAGTCATGGTTTCCTGGCTATGGACATTGGATGTCGTTGATAACGGGATCACATCATTAGGAGAATGATGTGATGGACAAGACCCAATCCTAAGCATAGCACAAAGGTCGGTTAGTTCGTTTGCTAGAGCTTTTCCAATGTCAAGTATCTCTTCCTTAGACCATGAGATCGTGTAACTCCTGGATACCGTAGGGGTGCTTTGGGTGTACCAAACGTCACAACGTAACTGGGTGACTATAAAGGTGCATTACAGGTATCTCCGAAAGTGTCTATTGGGTTGACATGGATCGAGACTGGGATTTGTCACTCCGTATGACGGAGAGGTATCTCTGGGCCCACTCGGTAATGCATCATCATAATGAGCTCAAGGTGATCAAGTGTTTGATCACGGGATCATGCATTGCGGTACGAGTAAAGTGACTTGCCGGTAACGAGACTGAACGAGGTATTGGGATACCGACGATCGAGTCTCGGGCATGTAACGTACCGATTGACAAAGGGAATTGCATACGGGGTTTGATCAAATCCTCGACATCGTGGTTCATCTGATGACAACATCGAGGAGCATGTGGGAGCCAACATGGGTATCTAGATCCCGCTGTTGGTTATTGACCTGAGGTCGTCTCGGTCATGTCTGCATGTCTCCCGAACCCGTAGGGTCTACACACTTAAGGTTCGGTGACGCTAGGGTTATCAGGAAGACAAGTATGTGATTACCGAATGTTGTTCGGAGTCCCGGATGAGATCCCAGACGTCACGAGGAGTTCCGGAATGGTCCGGAGGTAAAGATTTATATAAGAAAAGTGGTTAAACGGACACCGGAAAGTTTCGGTGGCATACCGGTATTGTACCGGGGCCACCGGAAGGGTTCCGGGGGTCCACCGGGTGGGGCCACCCCTCCCGGGGGGGCCACATGGGCTGTGTGGGAGAGGGAACCAGCCCCTAGTGGGCTGGGCGCGCCTCCCCACCTAGGCCCATGCGGCTAGGGCAAGGGGAGGGGAAACCCTAAAGG